GAGGCAGGTGGATCACGAGGTCAGGAGTTTGAGACTATCCTGGTCAACATGGTGAAACCCCATCTCTACTAAAAATACAAAAAATTAGCTGGGCATGGTGGTGCGTGCCTGTAATCCCAGCTACTCAGGAGGCTGAGTCAGGAGAATTGCATGAACCCAGGAGGTGGAGGTTGCGGTGAGCCGAGATCACGCCATTGCACTCCAGCCTGGGTAACAAGAGCGAAACTCAGTCTCAAAAAAAAAAAAAAAAGGCCAGGCGCGGTGGCTCACACCTATAATCCCAGCACTTTGAGAGGCCGAGGCAGGTGGATCATGAGGTCAAGAAATAGAGACCATCCTGGTCAACATGGTGAAACCCCGTCTCTACTAAAAATACAAAAAATTAGCTGGGCATGGTGGCACGTGCCTGTAATCCCAGCTACTCAGGAGGCTGAGGCAGGAGAATTGCCTGAACCCAGGAGACGGAGGTTGCGGTGAGCCAAGATTGCGCCATTGCACTCCAGCCTGGGTGACAAGAGCGAAACTCTGTCTCAAAAAAAAAAAGAGAAATGTTATCCAAACCCTTCATGAGAGAAATCAGCTGCATTGAGGAACTCAGTGGGGACCCCAAGCTCTGTGTGATGCAGTTCTCAGGGTTTAATGGATATATAGTAATTTATACTTTGGCAAGACAGATAGCTGTCTAATATGCAAAAAGACTAATAAGCAGACCTTAAGAAAACCACCCCTTGGGGAAGAAGTCCAGGATTAAGACCATTCCAAAGTGTCCAAATTGATTACACCAAAATGCCCCCAATCGGTTGCCTAAAATTTCCATTTTCTCTTCCCTCAGGACTAAAAGCGTTGTAGCACAGACGCCACCACTGGAGTTCCCAGTGCACCCGTATCAGCCTGGAGCTTGTGTTCTCATTAAGAGTTGGAAGGAAGGAAAACTCGAACCGGCTTGGGAGGGACATTATCTAGTGCTTCTAACTACTGAGACCGCAGGCCGAACCACAGGAGGGTGGACTCAGCATATCTGAATCAAGAACACTCTGCTACCTTCAAAATCATGGGCCACTGTTCCGGGATCAAGTCCCCTGAACCTAAAGCTAAGAAAAACCTAACCTTCTTATATCTCTTATATTGTCTCTTCTTCTTCCCTCATTCTGCTGTCAGCGTGACTGGAACCCGATGTTGCTCTTTCATCCCTGATAATACTGGCCCCAACGGAACTATAACTAAAGCGCTAGAAGGTCTAACTGGTTTATCCAATGAGCTAGCCAAAAATTCTGGAACAGACGACCCTTTCACTAGTTTAATGGAGAGATGGTTTGGCAAATGGAAAGGACTCGGGGCCTCTATTCTCATTTCCCTTGCAGTTGTAATAGGTGTGCTCATTCTCATAGGGTGTTGTTTGATACCTTGTGTCCGCGGAGTAGTTCAAAAGCTCATAGAAACAGCTCTTACCAAAACCTCTCGAAACTCTCCCCTACCCTATTCAGATAAACTTTTACTTTCAAATAAGCAAGAAGAGAAGAAAAGCCAAGTCCTGTTAGAAGTATTTGAAGAGGAAGAATTGAAAAATCAAAAAGGGAAAAATTGTTAGAATGAGTTCCTCCTCAGAAACCTAACTTCCTTATCCTTGGTTCTGCAAACTGCCCTTCATTTGAAATAGTGCATTGGAATCAGCTTAGATTGTGCAGTCCAACCCCAGCCAATGGGGGAAAGACAGAAGCAGGAACCGTGTTAGGGTAAAAACCCTGCTCTCCTTTGTTAGGTGTGCTCTTGTGACTGTTACAGGTGCGGGCAGCACCCTTCTGCATAAGTAAACTTTGCTGAGAAACTTTTCTCCTGAGTGCTGGTCTTTCTCTGTGTCACCAAGAACTTATTTTTAAAAGTAAGAAGAGGCCAGGCACGGTGGCTCACCCCTGTAATCCCAGCACTTTGGGAGACCGAGATGGGAGGATCATGAGGTCAGGAGTTCGAGACCAGTCTGACCAACATGGTGAAACTCCGTCTTCACTAAATACAAAAATTAGCTGGGCGTGGTGGCAGGTGCCTGTAATCCCAGCTACTCAGGAGCCTGAGGCAGGAGAATTGCCTGAACCTGGAGGCGGAGGTTGCAGTGAGCCAAGATCATGCCATTGCACTCCAGCCTGGATGACAGAGTGAGACTTCGTCTCAAAAAAAAAGTAAGAAGGCCGGGCACGGTGGCTCACGCCTATAATCCCAGCACTTTGGGAGGCCGAGGCGGGTGGATCACGAGGTCAAGAGATAGAGACCATCCTGGTCAACAAGGTGAAACCCCATCTCTACTAAAAATACAAAAAATTAGCTGGGCATAGCAGCACGTACCTGTAGTCCCAGCTACTCGGGAAGCTGAGGCAGGAGAATTGCTTGAACCCAGGAGGCGGAGGTTGCAGTGAGCTGAGATCTTGCCACTGCACTCCAGCCTGGGCAACAGAGCTAGATTCCATCTCAAAAAAAAAAAAAAGTGCTGCAGGCCAGGTGAGGTGCTCATGCCTGTAGTCCCAGCACTTTAGGAGGCCAAGGCAGGTGAATCACCTGCGGTCAGGAATTCAAGACCAGCCTGGCCAACATGGTGAAACCCCATCTCTACTAGAAATACAAAAATTAGCTGGGCGTGGTTGTGCATGCCTGTTGTCCCACCTATTTGGGAGTCTGAGGCATGAGAATTGCTTGAACACTGGAGGCAGAGGTTGCAGTAAGCCCAGATTTTGCCACTGCACTCCAGCCTGGGCAACAAGAGCAGAACTCTGTCTCAAATAAGTAAATAAATAAACAAGTAAACACATGGGCCAGGAAGGTTTGGAAGCATGACTAAAGTGTAGCCAAGCAGATAATTTTTGTCAATTATGTTGCCAGCCTGATCCATCCATTATAAAATCATAGTCAATGTTCAGAAAAGAGGTCTGGTATTCTGTGACTTCCTCCTTCTCCCTCTCTCTGCTCCACAAAAACATGTTTTCTTTCCTAATTGCAAAAGCCCTTCCTTGTTACTAAACTCAAAAGGCAGTTTTCCACCTCAGTGTACTGGTCCTGCAATAACAGCTGACATTTAGACAAGCAGTTCTTTTTTTTTTTTTTTTGAGACTAAGTCTTGTTCTGTTGCCCAGGCTGGAGTGCAGTGGTGTGATCTTGGCCCACAGTAACCTCTGGTTCAAGCTGTTCTCCTGCCTCAGCCTCTCGAGTAGCTGAGATTACAGGTGCTTGCCACCATGCCCAGCTGATTTTGTATTTTTAATAGAGATGGGGTTTCATCATGTTCGTCAGGTTGGTTTTGAACTCCTGACCTCAAATGATCCTCCCACCTCGGTTTCCCAAAGTGCTGGAATTACAGGTGTGAGCCACTGCACCTGGCCTATGTGAGTGGCTCTTAAACTTTTGTGTCTTAGGACCTCTTTACACTCTTGAAGTTTATTGATGACCTCAAAGAGCTTTTTACAGTGTTATATCTGTAGAGATTAGCCACATTAGAAATTTAGAATTTTAGGCTGGGCAGCATGGCTCACGCCTGTAATCCCAGCACTTTTGGAAGCGGAGGCAGGCAGATCACAAGGTCAGGAGTTCGAGACCAGCCTGACCAACATAGTGAAACCCCGTCTGTACTAAAAATACAAAAATTAGCTGGACATGGTGGTGTGCACCTGTAATTCCAGCTACTCAGGAGGCTGAGGCAGGAGAATTGCTTGAACCTGGGAGACAGAGGTTGCAGTGAGCTGAGATCGCGCCACTGCACTCCAGCCTGGTCAACAGAGTGAGACTCGTTCTCAAGAAAAAAACAAACAACAACAAAAAAAAACCCACCAAATTTTGTAGCCTAGTCTACAAAAATGCAGGAAAAAGAAAATGGCTGTTTTAAGATGCTGATGGCCCCGTGCAATGGCTCACGCCTGTAATCCCAGCACTTTGGGAGGCCTAGGCGGGCAGATCATGAGGTCAGGAGTTTGAGACCAGCCTGGCCAACACAGCAAAACCTTGTCTCTACTAAAAATAAAAAAATTAGCCTGGTATGTTGGCAAGCAACTATAATCCCAGCTACTTGGGAGGCTGAGGCAGGAGAGCTTAAACCTGTGTGGCAGAGGCTGCAGTTAGCCAAGATCGCCATTACACTCCAGCCCGGGAAACAGTGTGAGACTCTGTCTTAAAAAAAAAAAAAAAAGATGCTGAGGTTTAGGTAACGTTTTTGTTATTATGTTGGCCAGGCCGGTCACCAACTCCTGACCTCAGTTGAACCTTCCGCCTCAGCCTCCCAAAGTGCTGGGATTACAGGTGTGAGCCACTGCGCCCAGCTGGTACGGATTTACCTTGCTCTGTTGCCAGGCTGGAATGCAGTGGCACGATCTCAACTCACTGCAACCTCTGCCTCCTGGGTTCAAGTGATTCTCATGCCTCAGCCTCCCAAGTAGCTGGGATTACAGGCGTGCACCACCACACCCAACTAATTTTTTTGTATTTTTAGTAGAGATGGGGTTTCACCGTGTTAGCCAGGATGGTCTCCATCTCCTGACCTCGTGATCCGCCCACCTTGGCCTCCTAAAATGCTGGAATTTTCTTGCTCATACAAAGTTAGCTGTGGGTCTGGGTGACTATTGAGGGCAGAAGTCCTCAATGCCAGGGCTCAGCCCTCTTCCCTCATGTGGCACCTCCGGGTTTGTCCAGCTTCCAGTGCAGCCCAGGTGGAGAACACAGAGCATGGAGCATTCTGCACTGCCTTCCCCCGCCCCACCCCCGCCACAAACACAGGGTCTTGCTCTGTCCATTGGGCTGGAGTGCAACGGTTGCACTGGTTTCTAAATGTTTCTACAAGGAGCATTTAAAGTGTTCTACATCCAACACTTCTGCTTAGCGTTTTATTGGTCAAAGTAAGTCACATAACTATGCCTGAGTTCAGCAGAGCCTGGGAGATGGCAGAGGGCATTAGTAATGCTTTCCCTACTGTCTCACTGCCGGTGCTGAAAATCCAATGAGAAAATACACACAAAACATTTCATTCATTTACTCAACAAATGTTTACTGGGCACCTATCATGTGCCAACCACTGTTCTAGGAACTGGATACATACCTATGAGTGAGTATATAGCAGTGAACAAGACTGATAGAAATCCCGGTCTGTGGCAAGCTCACATTAGAGTGGAGGAGAGAGAAACTGGATAAATAGGTAAAGTACACAGGGGCGAGCCCAGCACTTTGGGAGGCTGAGGTGGGCAGATCACCTGAGGTTAGGAGTTCGAGACCAGCGTGGCCAACATGGTGAAACCTTGTCTCTTCTAAAAATACAAAAAACAAAAAAATTAGCAGGGCATGGTGGCTGGCACCTGTAATCTCAGCTACTTGGGAGGCTGAGGCAAGAAAATGGCTTGAACCCAGAAGGTGGAGGTTGCAGTGAGCCAAGACTGTGCCATTGCACTCCAGCCTGGGCAACAAAAAGGAAACTTCATCCCAAAAATAATAATAAAAAATAAAGTATACAGTATGTGAGCGGGTGATAAAAGATAAGAGAGCAGAGACTGAAGAGGACCTTCCAGAGATCCCTAGATGTGTAGACTTGAAAGATCTGCTCCCAGACCTGGGGCTGGAAAGGGCCTTGGTAATGAGTGGCGGCCTCCTGTCTTCATGGCTTCTCTGAGATAGGCTGTTGGGATGTTGCTGTGTGTGCTCCATGCTGAGTTTTGTCTCTCTTCAGCTGGTAACATGCAGGTTACCCTGCTAGGAGGGCTTCTCCCTTTCTACAAGGGGAAGAGATGAAGGTAGAGAGATGACAGGACAGATTACTAGGGACTTGGTGGCTGTCATGAGAACCTTTTCTTTTGAAAGAGTTTCATTAACTCTTTTTGCCCAGGCTGGAGTGCAAAGGTACAATTTTGGTTCACTGCAAAGTTTGCCTCCCAGGTTTAAGTGATTCTCCTCCCTCAGCCTCCCCAGTAGCTCAGATTATAGCGCCTGCCACTATGCCCAGCTAATTTTTGTATTTTTAGTAGAGACAGGGTTTCACCATGTTGGCCAGGCCGGTCTCAAATTCCTGACCTCAGGTGATCCAGCGGCCTTGGCCTCTCCAAGTGCTGGGATTAAAGGTGTGAGACACCATGCCCAGCTAAGAACTCTTTTTTTTTTTTTTTTTGAGACAGTGTCACTGTCACCCAGGCTGGAGTGCAGTGGTGCAATCAAGGCTCACTGCAGCCTCCACCTCCTGGGCTCAAGCAATCCTCCCAACTTAGCCTCTTAAGTAGCTGGGACTACAGGGACATGCCACCACACCTGGCAAGTTTTTGGTATTTTTTGTAGAGATGGGGTCTTGCCACATTGCCCCGATTGGTCTAAAACTCCTGGGCTCAAGGGATCCTCCTGCCTCAGCCTCCCAAAGTGCTGGGGTTACAGGCATCAGCCACCACGCCCAGCCCTGTTGTGAGAACTTCTGACTCTTTCCTGCAGTGAGGCACAGCCAGGGCAGGGCTCTGAGCCAGCAGGGCCCTCACCTCACTCAGGTGGTCCCAGGCTCCCTCTGGCTCCACGAGAGGAGCAGACAGCCAGGAGCAGACAGGAGGCAGCAGGGAGGCCAGGGAGAGGCTGCTGGGGTGACCAGGTGGGAGAGGATGGAGGCTGGGCCAAGGCGGGGACAGTGGAGGGGAAGAGTTTAGGTTCTGTAGGTGGAGCCAGTATCTGCTCACAGGTTGGAGGGGGTGTGAAGGAGAGAGGCGAAGGACCACCCTGGGTGTCTGGCCTTAGTCACTGGAAGGACAGAGCTGCCACTGATCTAGGTGGGGAAGGTGGCAAGGGAGCAGTTCTGGAGGAAGGCAAGCAGCTCAGTTTAGGATGTATAAAGCTTAAAATGCCTCTAAGATCTTCCATCCTTTGAATACGTTGCAGGATGTAGGAGCCTGGGGTTTGCAGGTGTCTGGGCTGGAGATAGAAATTTGGGGGTTAGGACCAGGTGCAGTGGCTTACACCTGTAATCCTAGCCTTTTTGGAGGCCGTGGTGGGAGGATGGCTTGAACTCAGGAGTTCAAGACCAGCCTGGGAAACACAGCAAGACCTCATGTCTACAAATAACTTAAAAAGGAAAAAGATAAAGGAAATTTGGGTGTTAGCCGGGCATGGTAGCTTGTGCCTGTAGCAGTAGCTATTCAGGAGTTTGAGGCAAGAGGAAGATTCCTTGAGGCCGGGAGTTATAGGCTGCAGTGAGCTATGATCGTGTCACTGCATTCCAGCCTGGGTGACGGAGCCCCTGCCTCTAAGAACAAAACAAAAAGCTGGGTGTCGATCACCTAGAGATGGGGTTTAAGCTGCGCATGTAGGGAGGTGCCTCATGGCATGAGTGGTACAGAGAGGAGGACAGAGTCCTGACACCTGGGGCTGGCCAGGAATAAGAGGTTAGGGGCCAGAACTAGATGACAATATGGTTGTCAGTGAGTGCATGAGAAAGTACAAGTCAAAATGAAAGCAAATCACTGGAAGAAGCCTCACCTAGTCTCAGGTTGGGTGGAGACAGGGAGGGCTTCCTGGAAGAGATGACTCCTGAGCTGACACCCGCAGCTTCAGTAGCTACACAACCAGGCCCGAAAAAAAAAAAAAAAAGGGCAGCAGGAGAGTTCCCGGCTGAGGGCATGGGGCCTGGCAGTAAGTGAGGCCGGGAGAGAGCAGAGCAGTCAGTCTGGCAGGGAGGGGTGTGGTGAGAAGGGAATCTGGATTAGTCATCACCAAAAGATTTGTCATCAGCCAAGCCAGGTCAAGATCTGGTTCTGCCACCCTCCATGACCCTGCCTTTCAGAATCTCTATTTGCTCTCCTGCCTCGCAGATAAGGATTGTGTAGCAGTTACCTTGGCCTGGCCCCAGCAAGGCCTCAGGAAGCATTAGCTCCAACTAGTTTTGTCTGTTGTGATCTTGTTATGTGAGCTACTATCATATGCATTATATTATTGTTATTATTTTTTGAGTTAGAGTGTTGCTCTGTCACCCAGGCTGGAGTGCAATGGCATGATCTCCACTCACTGCAACCTCTGCCTCTGAGTTCAAGCAATTCTCCTGCCTTAGCCTCCTGAGTAGCTGGGATTACAGGCATGCACCACCATGCCCGGCTAATTTTTGTATTATCAGTAGAGACGGGGTTTCACCATGTTGGCCAGGCTGGTCTCAAACTCCTGACCTCAGGTGATCCACCCGCCTTGGCCTCCCAAAGTGTTGGGATTACAGGCGTGAGCTACTGCGCCCAGCCAATATATTCATTATGTTATTAACACATAGGGTAGTGGTTAAGGATACAGGCTAGGGAGCGTGGCTGCCTGGGTTTAACCTCAAAGGTTTACTTATCTGTAAAATGGGATAATAAATAGCATGGATGTCACAGGGCTGTTAGGAGAACGAGGGAGCTGATGGACATAAAGCACTTGCACGAGCTTGACAGTTACATGTTTTTGTATTATTTAAAGATGACTAAGGAGTCCACCAGCTGAGAAATACAGGTGGCCTGCAGGCTGAGGGAACAGCGTGGGCAAAGAAAGATACAGAGCTAGTAGCTGTCATTTACAAAGCATTTACCACCTATTTATTTATTTAGATGGAGTTTCACTCTTGTTGCCTAGGCTGGAGTGCAATGGTGCGATTTCGGCTCACCACAACCTTCGCCTCCCAGGTTCAACTGATTCTCCTGTCTCAGCCTCCCAAGTAGCTGGGATTAGAGGTGCCCACCACTACACCCAGCTAATTTTGTATTTTTTAGTAGAGACAGGGTTTCTCCATGTTGGTCAGGCTGGTCTCGAACCCCTGGACTCGGGTGATCTGCCCGCCTCGGCCTCAAAGTGCTGGGATTACAGGGGTGAGCCACTGCATGGGTTATTTATTTTTTTGAGACAGAGTCTCACTCTGTCACCCAGATTGTAATGTAGTGGCATGATCTTGGCTCACTGCAACCTCCACCTCCTGGGCTCTGTCGATCCTCCCACCTCAGTCTCCAGAGTAGCTGGGACTAGGTGCATGCCACCATACTCAGCTAATTTCTGTATTATTATTATTATTTGTAGAGACAAGGGCTCATTATATCAGCCAGGCTGGTCTCGAACTCCTGGGCTCAAGAGATCCTCCTGTCTCAGCCTCCAAAAGTGTGGAGATTACAGGCGTGAGCCACCGTGCCCAGTTGTTGCTTAATTTCTTTTGTAAATCAGTAGTATTCCTGCAGATATCATTTAATTTTGATAGGGGCCTAGTGGTATGGAGCAACCCATGTTCCCATTTTACAGATGAGAAAAATCGCTGCTCAAGAACATCAAGTCACTCTTTTGGGGTATGCAGTTATTACAGGCACAGCCAGGATTCAACTCAAGCCTAGCCAGCCTCCAGGATAGGGGCTAAGAGTCAGCCAGCTTGCCTGGGGGCCAGATTTAGCTCCCCGCCAGAGTCCTGAAAAAGTACTAAACACGGTTGTGTGCTATAGCTCACGCCTGTAATCTGAGCACTTTGGGAGGCCAAGGCAAGTGGATCCCCTAAGGTCAGAAATTTGAGATCAGCCTGACCAACGGGGTTTCGCCATGTTGGTCATGATTCGCCATGAATCTCGCTGTCTCCCAGGCTGGAGTGCACATGGCGTGATCTTGGCTCACTGCAACCTGTGCCTCCCCAGTTCAAGCGGTTCTCTTGCTTCAGCCTCCTGAGTAGCTGGGATTACAGGCATGTACCACCACGCCCAGCTAATTTTTTGTATTTTTTTTTTAGTAGAGACCGGGTTTCACTATGTTGGCCAGGATGGTCTCGATCTCTTGACCTCGTGATCCACCCCCATCGGCCTCCCAAAGTGCTGGGATTACAAGCGTGAGCCACTGCACCTGGCCATATTTTTTAAGTAAATAAAGAAACCAGGCCGTGCCCAAAGGAATCTTCCTGTGTCTGGGGGCTTTTGAGACTGGCATACAGAGGATACCCTTTGGGCTGGTCCAGCAAACAACGATTCTGGTGGCCCCTGACTGGGGCGGGGGCGTGGTAAGGAGAGCTTGGAAGGAGGCGCAGGCCCTGCCTGCGGTTTGACTGCCATCCGTGCTGCTGCAGGCACCCGGAAAGGCAGTCCAGCTTAAGTCCTCGCCAAAGACTCGAGCGTACGAGCCAAACCATACTCCAGGCCTCCAGGAGCTGTTTGTCGCGACAAGACCTGGAGAGGGCCGTGCGGAGTTCCTTAGTGAGTGGACCGAAAACCGCCACTCTGGAAGGGTATAGGCAGGCCCTGGGGCGAAAATTCACATTACGACACTGGGAGGGGGCGGGTCCCCTCCGAGTTCTAGTCCGCTGGCGCCTCAACCCAGACTTGAGGGGTGTGGTTCAGACCCCAGCCTACCGAGTCAGAGCGAGTTTAGGACCTCCAGAGCTGGAAACGCGCCAGGAGGAGTCCAGCCAGATTCGCGTTCCGCTAGCCTCGGCGGGTCGGGGAGCGCATGCGCAGTTTCCACTTCGGCTCTAGGACCGCGCGGGCAACTGCGGGGCCGCGGTGCAGAGTCTGACCGGAGAGTTGCGTCCTGAGTCACCGGCCCCGCCCTTCGGAGCCGGACGCAGCGGGAGGCCCGGGAGCGGCAGTGGAACGGACCCCACGGGACCTCCGGACCTGTGCGGTGGTAAGCGCCCGGCCCGTACCCTCTCCCCACCCTGCAATTCCGGCCCTGGCGGTCCCCAGACCCGGCGAGACCGTGAAGTCTCGGCCTCGGGTCCCCAGATCCATGGTCTCATATTCAAACCCCAGACATGTTCGACCCCCTTTTATGCCGTCCCGGGGACCTTTCCCCACCCTCTGTCTCATGATCCAAAATGCAGGCCCATAGATTTCCGAGATACCCCTTGAATTCTTCCTTGGTGCGTTCTGAACCGCAATCGTAGATCTGTGCCCCCAGTTCCAGCGGGGGACCCCATTATCCGGGACCCTAGGGATCACAGCCACGATCTTAGACCCGAGCCCACAGACCCAAAGGTGACACTGGAATCCTGCCGCTGGGAACATCTAAATTCTCAAGCCCGCATTTGGGATTTCCTAAACCCCGCCCTGGGGCCCTTTAGGCCGTGGATGTTTGCTCCGCGCCCATGACCCGCCAGCGACCTCTCCATTCAGTTCCGTCGGGCACGCCTTACACCAACTTGGAGTCCCCACCAAGAGGACCCCCACCAGACCCGCACCCTCCCCTTAACGCGTGCACTCAGCCCAGGCTCCCTCAAGCCCCACGGATGCCTTTTAGACCCCAGGAGGTTGCAAACCTGATTCCCCGTTCCTGCCCCACCCATCCGAGGACAATTCTCCCTCGCAGGCTCAGACCCCCACCGGGGGCCTCAGATTCCTCCTGCTAGTCCAGCTGCCGGAAATGCGTGTTTGAGGGAAGGGTGTGGGCTCAGGACGACGCAACCACTAGTCCCTTTTTTCCCCCAGCAGTGAGTCGCAGCCATGTTCCTGGTTAACTCGTTCTTGAAGGGCGGCGGCGGCAGCGGCGGCGGCAGCGGCGGCGGGGGAGGCGGGGGCCTGGGTGGGGGCCTGGGGAATGTACTTGGAGGCCTGATCAGCGGGGCCGGGGGCGGCGGCGGCGGCGGCGGTGGAGGCGGAGGCGGTGGAGGCGGCGGTGGCGGTGGAACGGCCATGCGCATCCTAGGCGGCGTTATCAGCGCCATCAGGTGAGGTGGGGACTATTGAAGGGGCGGGGCCTGTACGCGGGAGGAGCCTCAGAAGGGGCGGGGCCTGGGGAGGAGCGTAATTTAACTAGACTAGAATAGAATTAACCTGAGGCCGACCTGGGTACCTGAATTAGGCCGGGGTGGCCTGGTTTGGGAGTCCTATAAGAGGGTGGACCCCAGTGAAGGTGATACCAGTCCTTGGGGGCAGGACTTGATATGGGGGTGGTCTGATTGTGTGGATCCAGGACAATGTGGTCCTCAGGGCACTGATCTGGAGTTTTGGGGGCGGGGCTTATGGATCTGGGCCCGGCCTGTATTGGCTACCCTGGAAACGAACGTTAAAGGGGCGGAGCCAATGCGTCTGAGTGACATTTTACGGACGGAGCTTGACTTATGAGTGCGGTGAGAGGTTTTAGGTGGGTTAATGAGGATGTGAGCCCAGGAGAAACCAAGGCCTAATGAGATAGGAGAAATAGCCCAAAATGGGCTGGGCCTGCTGGAAACTGGCTGGATTCATGTAGAAAAATGTCCTGATAGGGGTAGGGCAGGTTTGCCTAATTAGCCATGGCCACTTAACAATGATCCCTTGAAGGGGCGGGGACCTGTGGTTGGATGTTGGGAAGATAGCCATTTAAGAAGAGGGCCATGGAGTAGGGTCTTGGACAGATGGCACCTAAGGAGGATGAGGCCTTGGGAAGCTGGGGCAGAGCCTCTATAAAGTGAGCTCTCCAAGGGGCAGGGTTTGTTGATTCTGTGTGGGATTTTTAGGTCGAGGGTGGCCAAGATGGCTGGAATCTGCCCTTGGGTAGGTATGCCTGGCAGGAGTGGAGCCTCCCAGGGGACTGGTCTCTAGGTTTCCTCGAGGGTAGGGTTGGCCTGATGAAAGGAGAAGGGGGGCAGGACCAGGGCAGGGTGGATTAGGACAGGTGAAGGCAAGAACAGGTAAGGGGCACAGCAACCAAGTAAGGAAGGTGGCCTCGGGGCCAATGGTTCTGCCCCTCTGCCCGTTGGAGGCCCCGCCCCAGGCGCTAACCCCTCCCCCTTATCTCTTCGCAGCGAGGCGGCTGCGCAGTATAACCCGGAGCCCCCGGTAAGCCCCCTCTGCAGCCAGCCAAACTTCTCCCTCCAAGGCCTCTTCGAGGTCCCATCCCTGTACCTGTAGGGAAGCCCCACCTTCCACCACTTCTTGTGACATTCCTCTGCCAGTTCTTCCCGGGCCATGTCCGCAGCTTCGCCATGGGGTTTAGCCATCCCTGACATACACACTCCCCATTCGCTGCCACCCCTCATTCTTTTTCTCATCAAGCCACCCAGCCCACTATGACTTCCCCACCCAGGGTGCCTCAATGTGAGGAGCTGTCCTGGGCGGGTCCCCTACCCCCACCAGCTCTGAGCTCTCCTCCCTCTCTGCAGCCTCCACGCACACATTACTCCAACATTGAGGCCAACGAAAGTGAGGAGGTCCGACAGTTCCGGAGACTCTTTGCCCAGCTGGCTGGAGATGTAAGTAACCTGGGGTCCCTGGCCCCGTGCTAACCCTTCCATCCCTCCCATCCCTTCCCTTGTGGCTGTGTAACAATCCCAATGTTCCCATTCTCCACGACATTTTCAGACCCCTTTCAGTCACCCCTGACCTCCCCCTAACTTCCGCCTGCAGGACATGGAGGTCAGTGCCACAGAACTCATGAACATTCTCAACAAGGTCGTGACACGACGTAAGTGACCGGGGTCAAGGCATAAGGCAGGTTTGGAGGCAGAGGGGCTGGAGTGGCTTTGACCTCTGGCCTCTGACTTTTAACCTGTCGCCCACAGACCCTGATCTGAAGACTGATGGTTTTGGCATTGACACATGTCGCAGCATGGTGGCCGTGATGGATGTATCCTTGGCAGTAGTATTGGGGAGGCTCTGGGTGCACAGGGAGTTTTTTAAGAGTATGTTTGGGAAGCCAAAGTGTAGCCTTCATATCTGCAGATGTGTAAATGCATATGTCAGAACAAACTCACCTACAGACATGTGGCAGTAAATCATAACAATACACTGTCACAGCTGGCACTTTAATTATATAAAGTGACCAAACCTTCACAACCACCTTGTTGGACGGGCACAATTATTATACTCCATTTAACAGATGAGAAAACTGAAGCTCAGCGAGAAACAGTCATTTGTCTCAAGTTAAAAATAAAGGTCGGGCATGGTGGCTCACACCTGTAACCCCAAAACTTTGGGAGGCCGAGGCAGAAAGATTACCTGAGGTCAGGAGTTCGACACCAGCCTGGCCAACATGGTGAAACCCCATCTCTATTAACATACAAAAATTAGCCAGGTGTGGTGGCAGACACTTGTAGTCCCAGCTACTTGTGAGGCTGAGGCAGGAGAAGAATCCCTTGAACCTGGGAAGCAGAGGTTGCAGTGAGCCAACATCGTGCCACTGCACTTCAGCCTAGGTGACAGAGCAAGACTCCATCTCGGGAAAAATAAATAAATAAGCCAGGTATGGTGGTGGGCACCTGTAGTTCCAGCTACCCAGGAGGCTGAGGCAGGAGGATCCCTTGAACCCAAGAGGTAGAGGTTGCAGCGAACCAAGATTGCACCACTGCACTCCAGCCTGTGCAGCAGAGCTAGACTCAGTCTCAAAAAAAGTTATGACCTGATGTGGTGGCTTATGCCTGTAATCCCAGCACTTTGGGAGACCCTGAAGTCAGGAGTTCAAAACTAGCCTGGCCAATATGGTAAAACCTCATCTCTATTAAATACAAAAATAAGCTGGGCATGGTGGTGCACACCCGTAGTCCCAGTTACTCGGGAGGCTGAGGCAAGACAATCACTTGAACCCAGGAGGTGGAGGTTGCAGTGCGGAGATCGTGTCACTGCACTCCAGCCTGGGCAAGAGAGCAAGACTCTGTCTCAAAAAAAAAAAGATAATAAAGAGCAGGTGGCAGGATAGGAATTTGGACTCAAGTCTTTTGGGCTTGAGAAGCCAGTTTATAACAGCCACATGCACATATACACCCCCCCAGAGCACACCCACATACATGAAGGTATATGAAACAGTGTGCACAGGAACACACATACATTTGTACGTGGGCCAGCCATTAATTAGCTGATCTTGGATACATGTACATTTTTATTTTTGTTTTAAAAAAATCTAGAGTCAAGCTTTTACTATATTGACCTGGCAAGTCTCGAACTCCTGACCTCAAGAAATCCTCCCACCTCAGACTCCCAAAGTGTAGGGATTATAGGCTTGAGACACTGTGCCTGGCCTCATGCACATTTAACACGCAGGGAAATACAGACACATGCATATATATGTATCATGTGAGATATTCACAGACCTATTACATTTGAGTGAAGGAATCTCAACTCTACCCCTTAACCAGGTTACTGAACCTCTCTGTGCCTCAATTTCCCTATCTGTAAAATGGGTGAATGATAATGGTGATACTGAATTGGAACTACATGCAAAATGTTTAGCACACAGCATAGTGCATAGTACGTGGTCTGTACACATTAGTTCTTTGTTTTTCTTTTTTTTTTTTTTTTTTTTTGGGGGGGGAGGAAGGCAGGAAGGGAGGGAAGAAGGACGGTAGGGAGGAAGGAAGGGATGAAGGAAGGAAGGAAGGAAGGAAGGAAGGGAGGAAGCGGGGAGGGAGGGAGGGAAGGGAAGGAAGGAAATCAAGCAATGAGAGAGACATTGCCAACCTGGATCTATAGGTTTACAAGTTGATTTCTTTTTTTTTGAGAGAAGGAAAGAAAAAAAAAATAATAAG